TGCTCCCACAGCCCATCTATATGTTGTTGTCCAATTTTAACACACACACAGGGTGAGGTAAAAGTAGGTTTATATTGTGAGTTCATGAAACAGAGTTTATTCTTGGATTATTATGTACAAATTATTGTATCATTTTCCATATTAACAACTGTAAACTGAATTTTGCCTCACCCTGTGTGTGCGAGTTGGTTTTATTTACCTTCATGGCCACATTGTACACTCATGACTTGAACCACTTGTTCCAGAAAAAGTTTCCTTGTTTGAAGAGAAACCTAAAAGGTGGCCACACATGTGTTCCTACTATGAAAATGTGTATATTTCCTACACACACACACACATACAACCTTAGACCCTAGTAAATAGTCAACAATGTCACCTTCGTACCTGAAGAGCCAAACTTCTTTTTAGATCAGCATAAAAAATATACAGAAACTCAGCTCTCCAAATGACAGTTCACATGGAAGAACTTGATTCTGCAGATTTCCATTCAGAGGTGCTGCAATGATGCAAACAGCTCCAGGTACTATTCCTGTTTTATGAGAGTTCAAGAATATTTTCAGGGAGAGTCTATGAGAGAAGTGACTACACTGAATTTTTGCTGTTGCCCCAGACTTTAGGTGAATCTGAGGCTGCAGTGGATGATCCCAAAAGGTCTCTCTCCTCTTTCAACTTTAAGATTACACAAGTCTAATTCCAATTCTTCCTTGGAATGTTTTGTATAACAAGAGAGAACACTATTTGTTGGTTTCTTTTCTGTTTCTTACCTAACAAACTACTTTCTAGTATGTCTCTGAAGATTTGACAGTTGTATTCTATCTTTATTTTGCCACCAGACACAGTATCTTTAGAAGGGGAGACGACTTCATTGTATGGATGTGGAAGCAGAGACCACTGGAGGTCAAGTGGTTTGTCCAAATCATGAGCGATCTATGTAGGGCCAGTAGCTGAATACAGCAGTAAGTGTCTTTCTGCAAATAAGAGGCAGTGCTCAAAAATCTAGGAATTTTTAATCTTTGTTTTCCATTCATAGGATTTTGAGTAGGAGTTGATATGTATTTCTATGTGGGTGTTTGAGTTCAGAGGTTGTATGAAATTTGGTATTTTAAGTACCTAACACTGTGCTGGTCATAACCCAGACACTTCATAAATCCATGTGGAGTGAATGAAAGGACACCAGAAATGTAACCTTGTCTGGCAGAAGGTAGTGGCATTTTCATTTTTAACACTGTGGAACTGATCGTTCTCAGTTTCTCATTTTGCAACCCTAGCTCCTTGCCAAAGCCTGAAACCCCACCCCCATTATTAACAAATACATCTGTAATAAGCTACCACGTTTAACTGAGGTTGCATGGTGGGAAGAGTGATTTCCAAAGTAGAACTGAATTTCAGTCTTTGGACATCTTTGGTAACTTCTGCATGCCTTCACTTGAATCTACTTGTACTGCTACTTCTGCTGTCATGAATACTATTGGTCTTTACTAACCATTCACCTAGAGCCAGGGAATGTGCCAGGGGGTCTTACATGCATCATAGTATTTAATCCATCCAACACGCCTGGAATCCAGTCTTATGGCTTCCATTTTACCCTGCCCAGAGACACTGAGTCTCCTGTCAATGTTACACAGCCAGCTGGGCAGCTGGAAGAGGAGTAATGACTGTTGAGAGAGCTTGAGGCCACACCTTCCATCTCCAGTAGCTTTTATGATAATACGGGAATCCTTGGGGCACCTAATACAATGAGAATACAGCATCTTAGATGAATTAGTTTATGAGATCAATTTCTTCCCTCCCTGATAACAAAGACAGTCAGCATAAAAGCTGTCTCTGCTCAAGGGAAGAGGAGTCTTAAAGATGGGTTGGGGATAGAATGTGGGAAGTGATCTCATTGTTCCAAAATTAAAATTGTCCTTTTGAGAATGTACTCTTCAACATTCAGCTATGGGGGAGTGTGACCATGGGGAACAGGAAACAGTCTAGGACACATTTTAGGATTTCCACAATTTACCCAGGGTGTGTCTTGATATGCTATGTAGGCTTGACTATTACTAAGCACAGGACAGAACATTCTTCCTTGGTCTGCCCTTAAGAGAAATCTGTTGCTATATGTTTAGCCTTTGGGCCAGTGCGGCATCCCGCAGCGTTTCGGTGGAGAGCTGGCAGAAGAGAATCATAGCACTAGCAGTGTTAACTGCTGACACAAAGGACAGGAATAGGCTTACAGCCTAGACTTGGCTTCTTGCCTCTCGTTAAGGCACCCAGCAGCCAGCCTTACTGACAACCTCCCTGAGACATGCTTGCTTACTCCAGCACTATTCGAATCTCTCCATGTGTTATATTGCTTTGTTTCTTTCAAGGCTATTATCTTTTTAATCTCAGTTCTCATTTGTTTACCTCCTCAATACCAAAGGAACAAGAAAGAGTACAGAACAGAGGATGTTAACCAATCTTGAACCAAACCCCTGATCTCTCAAAAAGGTGGGAGAGAGGCATTCTCCAGACATTCTCCATTTTTTGAGGCTTCAGGTAGATTAAATTAATTAAGTATGCCTAAAGGGGGCTAGCAAAAACAGTTGCTTATTTTTTACACACTTTACTGAAATAAATGAACACTTTAGCACAAAATAATATAAAGCAATTCTGTGCAAAGAATAGGATATTTACAGTAGTTATTAAAAATATGAATTCAGGTTGTGTGGTCCAACCAGGGGTCACAAGGTGAAGGTTAACTAGTGTAGCTTTTATTTTCCCAGCCCTCAGAGAGTGTATGTGTAATCTCATTTCAAAGAGAGAGCTCATAGTCAAAATTTGCAGATTGCTGAAAATGCGCGTCCCTGGTTCCTCTCTTTACAGCTTTTCCCGAGTCTCTGCCCCAGACATGGGATGAAAACTTTTATGTTTGTGTTCATTTTCTAGATTTCAAAAGCTTCTCCAAGCAGTCCATTCTTCAAAAATGGTTAAGAACTATTCTAAAAGATTAGCATAACCTATGAAACTGGGATCAATGATCAGAGCTCCTCATTTTTGAATTTCAAAGTACTCTTTTTTATTACAAACGTTTTTAGCCTTGCATTCTAACTTGATATTAAAGTCTTTTTTAATGACTCGGTCTTTTTGTTCTCAAATGTATAGTGGCTCAAATGCGTAGTAATCTTAATTCTTTTCTTTTTTTTCCATTGCCTCTCCTCTATCCCTATTCTAGGATGTATACGTTAAAAAGAGGACATTGATCATACTGATCAGGCAGTGGTCTCAACTTCATTCACCCTGCTGTGCCATGGCTGTGTGACTCTGCAAAATGCTCTCTCTCTCTGGTCCTCAGTTTCTCTAAGATAAGATGGCGATTTCCATTCCTCAAGTTCCTTTTAATCTAAAAGGCTACAGTTTTTCTTACTCCCAGCTTTCACTTCTTCTCAAACTGTCTCTGGAATTTTAATATCCAATCTCCAAAGCTCTTGTCATGGTACACTGGCTGGCCTACTTTGTCAGAAATAAAACATTTGTTTACTTTTAACCACAACCAAACCCAATACTTAATAGCATGGATTCAGACTTATTTTTCCCTTGACCTGATGGAAACTAAATGTTTATTTTGTTATCAAGGTGAATGGAGTGTTTCCTGTATTAGTCAAGTCAGTAGAAAAACTTTAAAGTCAAGAAAAAAAATCTAACTTGGCCCAGCTAAGCTGCCAGATACAGATCGGCACTGACAGCTTAGGGACAGTAGATGGCGATATGAGTGCATCAAATAATAAACTTTTCCTTGATTGGTTCTTGATTAATGCCAATCATTGGTATTAATATCCCAATGATTGAGGCCAGAACAGGTGATAGGGTTAAAAGAACAAAGGCAGATACAATCAGATGTTAAGAGTGCTAGCTAACACTCTGAGTGTGTTTCAGTGACCTGATAGTCACTGAAAGAAAAGATTGTTAACCTAGAGATGCATCCCGTTGCTGCATCTGTATTCGAGCTAAGTCTTCAGATGAGAGTTGGCAATAAGCACATGTATCCCACAAAATGTATCTAATTCATATTTTCCTATCCATTTTTGGTGTTTATATTTTTTAAATAGCAATTTTGGGGGATGGAGTGTGGCTCACATATATTATTCATAGATGAAGTACTATGTTCTTACTGAGAATGGGAGTCCGAAAACGCTGGGGTTTTGAAGGGGAAATGGCGGACTTACTGTAAGTTGTTGGCTGGGCCATTGTTGACTGGCAGGATCAACTGGAAGCACTTTGTTAGTGGATTAGGTTGCCCTGGAAATGCCTTCCTGAAACTCTAATGATGCACTTAAGGGAGTCCTCTGGGACAGGAGCAAACTCTTAGCAGGCATGTCTTCCACCAGAGACCTCTGAGGCTGAGTGCGGAGGGCGGGCCTGGGGGCACACCCAAGAAGATGCTCAGTGGGAAACCGCCCCAGAGAAAGATCGCACGTTACAATTTCTAACAGGTAAGTTAAGACGACGACTTGGTGGTGCAAACTGTGAGCTTTCTGAGGGTATCAGTGCTTCATGTATTGTTTTGAAAAAGCACGAATTCCGGAGAGACTAAATATTTACTTATTTGCTGGGGGCAGTGGCGGAGAGATGGAGCAGGAAGGAAAAAAAGAGGGGGGTGTTTGAGAGAACATGGTTTAATCCCTTGGTGAAAAAACAAACCCCAAATACCAGCTAATTTATAGTTTGAACCTTGGGATCATTCGGTGTGCTTTGAGGGGGAAAAAAAAAGCAAGCTTTAGAGGGGAAATTTGCCCTTCTGCAAAAATTCAGTGATCTCTCCACTGGTTTGGGCTTGTTTCGGGGTTGCAGGGAGGCGGCGGAGGTATAAAGAGAAGAAAAGACTAAGCAAAGGCCCTGGGAAACTACAAACGTCCCAGCCGGCCGGGCAGGGAGGGAAGTGGCCGCGCCGCGTCCCCGCCCCGAGCCCAGAGCGCTTGGGAGTCGCGTGCCCACGGCCGGCGCCCTGCGTCCCCGAGCAGTCCCGGCAACCTGTCACCGAGGAGGACGTGACTCGGAGCTGCCTCCGCTTTCTCCAAGCCATATTCCTTTAAGATGATGTAATAGTCATTTCCCTGGATGGTTTTTTGCCTGCACTGCTGAAACAACAGCAGTCCGACTGCACTGGGAACTGTGGAACCGCCCAGCTCCGTCGCCCGCCTTATCAGCCAGAGCCCAGGATCTACCGGCATCTCCGTGCTTCGGCGGCACCAGCTCCCACCCGCTCCACCGGCTTCCACCACCTCCCACCGTCTCCCAACGGCTTCCAACGGCTTCCAACGGCTTCCAACGGCTTCCAACGGCTCCCAACGGCTCCCACCAGCTCCCACTAGCTCCCACCTGCTCCCACCTGGCTGGGAACATGGGAGCCCCTTCGCCCTTGCCCTCAGGTGGGATGGCTACCTGGGACCGCAGCAGGGCACCTCTTTCTGCCTGCGTCTGGGCTTTCTGAAAAGCTACTAAGTCCTGGTACCTCTTGCAACTAACTCGCTTCTGTTTGAAGGATTCTTGTTGAGGCTTTGATTTTTTTTTTTCCCTTTCTGGAGACGCTTTGGTTGAATATTTGCCTCTGCTTTTCAACCCAATCACCTCTTACCACTGTTTAACTTTTTTGTGACTTGCTTTAATGAGATTAAAAGTGAATATATATGTTCATACATGCAAATATACATTTATATAAAAATATAATCTTTTCTGAGAGCACACCTCTCTACACCTCTCTGGCACTTTTCATTAATAGGCTCCATGTGGCTGTGCATTCTGACTGCTTTGAAAATGGGCATTTCTTCACAGGACTGAGTTTCCAGCACTCAATGAGGTAAGTAAGTTCTGAGGTTTATTGATTTTCCTGTCCAGCTGAAAAAAAATCCCCTTTTAGAAGTTGAAAATTGCATATTCCTTTTAAATGCAGAAATACAAATAGAAATGTTTTTAATACTAATTGCTGGAGACAGACATATGGATAAACATTGTAGACACAAAATAGCTTGAGAGAAGCTAGTGCATTGGAGAAAGGCTGAAATCAGTAGTTTCAGGGCTGCTTATGTAAAATTATCTCTCCCTCCCTCACACCCTCCCTGTATCCCTCCCTCTCCCTCCCTCCCCTCCCTCTCCCCTCCCCTCTCCAGCAGCTCTCTCTTTTTCTGACTCATACTGGGTTTGAGGAAATAATTTTCTCTTTTTTCCTTTAGACAGATCTCTGACTAACTGGGACTTGGCCTGCCTTCTCTACTGAGCCTGGGGGAAGATCAAATGGAGATGAGTTGATTATATTCCATGAAGTAATAGCTTACCACCAGCCAGGGTTTAAACTACTTCACCTGTGGACTCTTCTGAATTTTGCTTTCTTGGGGAAAAATACGGGGTTAGGGGAGGTCATTTTTAATACGTGTGCATCCTTCTCCCTCCCTAACAAGTTGATGTGAAGGGTAAGGCTGTGCGTTCTTGGGATTGCACCTTCAACTCAGAATAGGAGGAAGAAGAAAGGGACAATGGCTCTGAGTGGAAACTGTAGTCGTTATTATCCTCGAGAACAAGGGGCCACAGTCCCCAACTCCTTCCCCGAGGTCATGGAGCTGAATGTTGGGGGACAAGTTTATTTCACTCGCCATTCCACATTAACAAGCATCCCTCACTCCCTTCTGTGGAAAATGTTTTCCCCAAAGAGAGACGTGGCTCAGGATCTGGCCAAGGACTCCAAGGGAAGGTTCTTCATCGACAGAGATGGATTCTTGTTTCGTTACATCCTGGACTATCTCAGGGACAGGCAGGTGGTCCTGCCTGATCACTTTCCAGAAAGAGGAAGACTGAAAAGAGAAGCTGAGTACTTCCAGCTTCCAGACTTGGTCAAACTCCTGACCCCTGATGAAATCAAGCAAAGCCCAGAGGAATTCTGCCATAGTGACTTTGAAGATGCCTCCCAAGGAAGTGACACAAGGATCTGCCCCCCTTCCTCACTGCTCCCTGGCGACCGCAAGTGGGGTTTCATTACTGTAGGTTACAGGGGGTCCTGCACCATGGGCAGAGAGGGGCAGGCAGATGCTAAGTTTCGGAGAGTTCCCCGGATTTTGGTTTGTGGAAGGATTTCCTTGGCAAAGGAAGTCTTTGGAGAAAGTTTGAATGAGAGCAGAGACCCTGACCGCGCCCCAGAAAGGTACACTTCCAGATTTTATCTCAAATTCAAGCATCTGGAAAAGGCCTTTGATATGTTGTCAGAGTGTGGATTCCACATGGTGGCCTGTAACTCCTCAGTGACAGCATCTTTTGTCAATCAATATACAGATGACAAAATCTGGTCAAGCTACACCGAATACGTCTTTTACCGTAAGTGCAAAGGGTTGTTTTTATTTTTCCTGTGCACCGATTCTCTTTACAGATGTGTATGGTCTGCATGTTCAGTGTCTAAGGAATATTATTTAGGAATTCTTTAAAAACTTGAGGTATAGCTAAAGTATTAGAGGTTGTTATTCAACTCTCAAGTCTTATCTAAGGCAATTTTTATGTTTTTCCAATTGAAGTCACAGAATATTAAAAGGCTGCAAAAATCACTAGATGCAAATGATATTGGTATAGGTATTATGAGAGATGAAAACAGACATGTATATCTGTTTGCCAGATATTGAGTTGTGAAGAAAAGTGATGATTAGAACTTGGCCCTTGGTCCATGGAGGTTGTTAGACTCAGAATGGATGAAGTGCTGCTGTCTGTTTTTCTTATCTAAACTTTGGGGGTCTATTAAGCTAGTTGCTGAAGACGTGCTTTCATCAGGGGCTTTGAAAACACAAGTGGATGTTGTACTGAATGACGTGGTTTTGGCTAGATGGCAGTCTAGACTGATGAAAGACCCCCTTTCTCCCTCTCATGATTCTTTCCTAGTTTGTACTGGGACTTGACTTGCACTGCCGACTCAATTAAGCTGACTTCATTTAAGTTCTATCTAAAAGGAGCTAGATCCTTGAGAATTGTCAGTCACATGCAAACATCCTCCAGTTAGCTGAGGTGGAGGTGGTAGAATTACTGACATACAAGGGAAAAAAGGGAAGGAAACTATAGTATGGAAGCTTTTTAACTCGGTTTCTTAGAGGTCAGTCCATTGCTTAAATGACAACTTTCAGCACAGATTGCCTTCTTTTGGAAAATGGCATATTTTAGATGAATTATAAGCCATTCACCTTTGAAAGGAGGGCAGTGAATCAGTCGTAAAGTTTAGTGCTTGATTTAACTGCTTATGTTCAACAGGCCTGGGAGTAGAGAAGTGAATTCCATAAAAATGTTTCCATTGTTAACATTCTATTTTCTCTCTTATTTTAAGGCAAACCCATACATTTAGGGGGTTGAAACGCCAGAATTTATTTGAATATAAAGGTACAAAGGAATTTCTTAGACTGATTTTCGCCTACAGTTGTGCTTATTTCTTTGTAGATGGTGCTGGGAACCTTGGTGAATTGGTCAGTGGGAAGTCAAGTTGTTCTGTACTGAGTTGTCACATGCTGGGCTTTTTAGAGGTGAAGTCATGTGGGTTGTGTAGAAAGGGCAGCCTGTGGAGAAACATGAAATCAGCTCTTAGTTCTGAAGTGTATTGATATGTAGTAACAAGCATGATTTGGTCTAATAACCCCATCTATGGCCTTTATCTGTAATCTGTATTTCCCCTGTGCTAGAGCTCAGTCGCAGATACTGTTCTTCTTTCTGGTGAATTTCCCACTAGTGTAGAGGTAAGACTCTAGCTTTTTAGCCTTCTGTGGAGGAATTTGACATTATCTGTGATCCTGTAGGACAAATATCTTTCCCTCACCTTTTGGATGAAATGTACTTTGGAGTTCAAATCTAGGTTTCTGATATTTACCTTGTTCTCCTATTTGAGAACAGCATCTTAAAATGCTTCAGCCAAATAAACATACTAGCTCTGCCCCCCCTCAAAAGACTATGATAGATTTCTAATCATTTGTTCATTTAAATGAGGCCCAAGCCCTGAAATGTATTTGCCTGCTAGCTCAGTGTCATTTGTATGTCCATCAAAGACTCATCATGCTTCTGACACTGTGCCCTCTTTACACTCCTCTAGACAGGCTCTGTTCTCTTGATCATATAATTGTTCTTGCTATGTTAGACCGCTGAGAGGTTGCTGAGGAGCATTTTGCTCTCCATCCCTCCAAGGACAGACTAGCACAAATTCACAGAAACTTTATATTGCATAGCATGTACGTTACATATAATATACTTCCCCTGCGTACCTAACATCCAGAGCTCAGGGTTAACTCTTTCTCTGTCTTAGGACCAACAAATCTGACAGCTGGCTTTCTAGGGTGCATAACAGCTTCTTTGCAGCTGCTTAGCCATAATTATTTAATTAGAAGCTGCCAACTGTGCCTATATAAGCATTAATTCATCAAGCTGTTGTGCTCTGGTTAATGGGCTGAAACTGTTGGGAGGTGCCCTAAAGCTGACTACATGCAGTCTTTGGCAAGCCAGTGCTAGCCCCACAGAGCCCCACCAAGAACTACAGAGCCCCAGGGTAGTGTGCACAAGTGGAAGAGAGAACTTGGAGAACTAGGGCTCCTGCCTTCAGAGGGCTGAAGGCAGGAGGCCTAGCCTTCCAGATTTGAAAAGGCAGCATGCATCCCAGGTAGTGCCCCTGCATCCTTAAAAAACTAACTGGCACACACACACAAAGATGCTCTCTGCAGAGCAACTCGACTTCTTCTTAGGTTAAATTATATACACACATATATATGTATATATGTAATATATAAATTTTATATATAAATAAATATGTAAGTTTTATATATACATATAGAATGATTATATGCAATTTTATATATAATTCAAGTTAAATTTATATTATAATATATAAATTATATAGTGATAAATATATAAATTTATGTATATAAAATTTATGTATACACATATATACATGTATGTGTGTGTATATATAAATATATATATACAGAGAGAGAGAGAGAGAGAGAGAGAGAGAGAGAAACTCCTTAGATCCAAGACCCAAGGAATAAACTCCACACAATCAGACTCTTCTAAAAACCCAGGGATAATACAGGGTCACTTTGCCTGGATCCATATCTCCAGTAAAAAATAATTAATACATTGCAGCAGCTGACAGTCATGGGGAGAGACCGCTTCTTTCCCTCTTTACCCGATTTTCCCCCAAGTTCTCCAAGGGACAATTGGGAGACCAAAATCTCCATGTATTATTAACAGGCTAGATTCTTGTTTCATTTTATCTTCGTGTAGACCTAGAATTGATGGTCAGCATCAGATAGTTTTGACTGAGTATTAATGCAGGATTATGAGCAAGTCAAGTCAACAGATGTCTATACTGTGTGCTTAAGGGGGCAATAAGAAATGTTTGTCTACATTGCTTACACACTAAAATATGATATGTGAAGTGCTATGGATTATGATTCACATATTAGCAACCAAGAAAATGTGATATGGAAACATAAAAACACTTATATAGGACTGCCTCACGAAGCATTTTAGATACTTACTTTGTTTTAACTTCAAACGAGAAAGGTACCTTTCCTCCTTTCCCACCCAACTAGTTAAATAATTACCTCTTTTCTCTTCAAGTGTTTTATAGAAGGCAATATCATAAACATCAGAGAGTGCCTTCTTGAATCTCCTCTGAATGAAATGGGAGGTAAGTAATTTGCAAAAGAGAAGTCCTGCTTTTGAACCAGAAGCTCAATAGCTATTCATACCACTTAGGAACAAAATCACAGGTGCATGGAAATAAATGAACCTCTTATTTAGAGCCGTCTTCCAGTCCCAGAGAGAGTAGGAAGATTGTTCTTGTTTGGAGAGAATTATGCACTTTTCCTTAATCCTACTCATGAGTGAGTTACTTTCGACAGATGCCTGAAAGCACTCAGATTGAAAGGCATTTACCTCTCAGAGAACCTTGATAACATGACCTCAAGTAGGAAGTTGAAGTCATAGGATGCTTGTTCTGTGAATTATAGAAACTGATCATCATCTTTTCAACACATTACTTCTTGTAGGTACATTTTAACCTTTCTTCTCTTTACTTTGTTTCCTTAAATTTAAAGGGTTGTTGCCACAAAAGTCTCTAAGACTTTTGAGGTGAAGTGTTGGAGAAAAGTAGATCAGGAAATAATTTCTCAAAGATTTCAGGGGCTCAGCCTTGTATTGGGAAAGAATATATGGTTCTGGCCACTGAATAATCAATCCAACACTGACTTTAAATCTTCAAGAAGTAAAATCATATGGTATTTATTTGTCTTTCCCTAAGTTTTCATTTAGCTTAATACCATCTAGGTTCATCCATGTTGTCATAAGTGGTAAGATTTCATTCTTTTCTATGGCTAAGTAATATTCCACTGTGCTTATGTTTGTGTGTGTGTATGTATGTATGTATGTCTTCAATATATCACATCTTTTTTATCCACTCATCATGGCACTGCAATATGTACGGGTGCATATATCTTTTTGAATCACTGTTTTGGATTTCTTCAGATAAATACCCAGAAGTGGAATTCTGGGTACTGAATATCAATTGTTAATTGAAAAAAATTTTTAAAAGCTTCAATAACAGAGTGTGTTTTTCTAGGAAAACAAGGGGAAATACAGCTTTCCTGAAATGATTCTAGCTCTTTTTCTCCTGGTTACTTGAAAGAAAGCAATGATAACTTCAATTTATTGCCCATAGAGATATATGATATTGGCACATTCAGAATGAAACAATCAGTGTAGTCAAAACTGTGAAGGTTTGGTCTTTACCACCACAGACATCTCTGTCTGCGATGACTTTTGCCTTATCTACATTTTTGTCTTACATTTTCCTCCATTTTAGTCATTCCTGCTTTCAAGTTCATTCTCTCTATGCTCTAATCAACACTTGTTGCCAGTAAAAATTCTGTTCTGTTATTATATTTAGAATACTTCTAAGTCATGGTGTTACTTTTCTCAGAGTTTTTTGTCTTTTTAACATAATAAACCTTTTAAGAGTTGTAGATCAAGTGACTTTGTTTCCAGAAGGTAGTGTTCTTAAGGCTTGAGGTGTTTTATAATTTAAAAATATAGCACAGTTTATGTGTAAGTCGGCATCCAAGTCATTTAGACCTGTGGTTGGGCAGATATGGGATGGTGATGGTGATGATAAAGGGCAGGGATGGTGGGTGTGACTTCTTCTTTCATCTTTAAGATGCTGTGCTCTGATCACTGGGCTCAATATAATAGTGATATATGAATGTTAGTTAAATATTTTATTATATTATTATTTTTTATCATGCCAAACAAGATGTATTAACTAAGCCCATCTTGTGGCAGGTGATTGAAGTATTTTC